GTTTCGTAGAAAATATGACGAATTCATTTTGAATACTACTGAACAAGTGCAATTGTCGAATAAATAGCATACATTTATATGCTCATGCATTCAACTGCATAGACATCATTTCATAAAATAATAAAAACAAGTTTTCTCGCTTCTACATTTAATATTGGATACAGTCATAAAAGAAAGTCTATTTGTACCCCCATTCCCACCCATCCATCCTATCCCCTGTTTTCGTGCTTGCCGCCACCTAAGTTTTGATGACGTTACAAATATTTTCACGTCATTTTTCATGAATATTAATGAGTTGATCGAGCTTATTTCCCCACATGAAGAGTCCAGACGTTGTTAGGACAATCTGTTTCATAGGTTCTGTCTCTCCCCTGGACTTTTTTTTTTATTCTTTTGTACTTTCTGTACATATACTTCTAATCATTTTTAAAATGCGGAATATAACTTTTGAATTATATCTGTATCCACGGGTCCTAGTTGTAATTTCTACCGTCGGAAATGAACCGAGTTAACCACGCGTGCCCTAAATTTAAAGGTGACAATGCTACTTGTTACAATACTTTATTTTATAAGGATACAATACATAAAATTTGAAGTCCTATACCATATAGTGTTCCAAGTCTTTTATCAAGTAAACTGCACGTTCTTCATAGTAATTAAGGAATCAGTTTACCAAGTACGTTCATTTCATGCAAAAATTAAAACCGATATTTTAGGGAATACTGTTTACCAATCCACGGATCTAGAGCACGCGCCCAGTAATCACGTGATAAATTGCCTAATTAAGTGCCGCCGATAACTCGGTACATAATACAATAATAATCTGTATTGACCGTTCCTAAACACAGAGGTCAGGACTCCGGGGAAATTGTAAATTGGCTGACATGAACGGCGTGATTACTACTGTATGTACACGTGAATACCATGTAAATACAGTCAAACAGTCATTGTCCTTCATAGAATCGCTACATTATAGCCGTATATATATTAATACGTCAGTCACCAGACACTATAGCCGAATCACCAATATCTTGTAAATATAACAAACATTGTCAATACTCAGGAATCGATAACAAAGTCATTCGAAGGAGTACAAGTTCTATTTCATTCCGCTGCTTAAACTTAATAATTACGGTTTTGTAATAATAGGTTTTGTGCCCAATACGCGGCACACCGACAGTTTAATAAAAGGGAAACAAACGTGAACGTTGTATTGTAATATTAATTGGAAACAACACTTCCCTGGAACATTTCATTACGAAGTCAGTGACTCGTAAACTCAATGACACAACACTTCCTTGATTCATTTCATTACGAAGCCAGTGACTCGTAAACTCAATGACACAACACTTCATTGATTCATTTCATTACGAAGTCAGTGACTCGTAAACTCAATGACACAACACTTCCTTGATTCATTTCATTACGAAGCCAGTGACTCGTAAACTCAATGACACAACACTTCCTTGATTCATTTCATTACGAAGTCAGTGACTCGTAAACTCAATGACACAACACTTCCTTGATTCATTTCATTACGAAGCCAGTGACTCGTTAATTTAATGACACAACACTTCCTTGATTCATTTCATTACGAAGTCAGTGACTCGTAGACTCAATGACAAACACTTCCTTGATTCATTTCATTACGAAGCCAGTGAGTCGTAAACTCAATGACACAACACTTCCTTGATTCATTTCATTACGAAGCCAGTGAGTCGTAAACTCAATGACACAACACTTCCTTGATTCATTTCATTACGAAGCCAGTGACTCGTAAACTCAATGACACAACACTTCCTTGATTCATTTCATTACGAAGCCAGTGACTCGTAAACTCAATGACACAACACTTCCTTGATTCATTTCATTACGAAGCCAGTGACTCGTAAACTCGTTGACACACTGCTTCATTGTACGAATAGTCATTAATGCTAACACGATGAGTGACCAACGGCATAAAACGTATCAGAAAAAGCTAGTAGTGTGCCTCTTTGCCGGACATCGAACCATCGATTATCAGATTACCGATCGAGCTATAGGGAAATTCCCTCTGACGGGAATCTAGAAGGCAACCGTACCCTATTAAACTCACCACTGAATTTACTGTATTTGTATACACTATCTCTAGAAACCGTAATCCATTCATATATTATCAGATGCATTGTCTGTTGGTTAACCAATAAAATTCGTGCAGGAAAGGGAAACCGTTATCACAACATCCTGTTTACACGACCTATGTACTTCCTTATAATTTATCAGACTAACGGTCATACAGTAAATAAGGATTAGTGATGTTTTTGTATAATATATAAGTCACACACCGTGTTAACTGCTGACACTGGACAATTACGCTGAGATCACCAAACATTATTAAACAAATAAAATGTTAATGTTTAACAGATTAGAACAAGTAATAACTCTTATGATATTAAATAACTACTCACAAATTCATATCTTTTTGTTTGAACTTAAATCATGTCAGATTGTTGTCATACCTTAAATCTTTAATCATTTGTCAAACCTTAAATCTCTTATCGTTTTGTCATATCTCTGATAATGTTTAATAACTAACCATTCTCAAATTCACAATTATAATAAGTAAAAACTTGCATCTCTGGTAATATATTGTAACAAGCATTTCTCAAATCATATTTCTGATATGTCATAATTTACATCTCTGATAGTTTGTCATAATTGACACCTCTGATAGTTTGTCATAATTTACATCTCTGATAGTTTGTCATAATTTACATCTCTGATAGTTTGGCACAATGTACATCTCTGATAGTTTGTCATAATTTACATCTCTGATAGTTTGTCACAATGTACATCTCTGATAGTTTGTCATAATTTACACCTCTGATAGTTTGTCACAATGTACATTTCTGATAATTTGTCATTCATATCTGACAGTTTGTCATACATCTCTGATAGTTTGTCATAATTTACACCTCTGATAGTTTGTCATAATTTACATCTCTGATAGTTTGTCATAATTTACATCTCTGATAGTTTGTCACAGTGTACATCTCTGATAGTTTGTCATAATTTACATCACTGATAGTTTGTCATAATTTACATCTCTGATAGTTTGTCGTAATTAACATATCTGATAGTTTGTCATAATTTTCATCTCAAATCTTTTTATTACAGTTTATTAAACATGTGACTATCTGGCAATGTTTGATAGAACTATATTGAACGGGTTTTCAGTACCAGCGTGGCTCACTCTAACAGTATCTATCGATGTATATCGGTCTAGGATGAGACCTGGAGGTTTTATAGATCCAACATGCCCACCTTAAATTACTTTCTGTACAACGAAGGCATACTGAAAGAGAATTTCGGTCTCTTATTTCCCAGGTACTATGCAATTCAGTTCGGAAGCACATACATTTTCATCGGAAAAATGCCTTCGAATGTTTAATCATCTTAATGGATAATTGATTAATTTGTAGTCCGTAACACATTTATATCTGTGTTATGTTTCTGATGTAAACAAAGACTGTACACATTGATGTAAACAAAGACTGTAGTCATTGATGTAAACATAGACTGTAGTCATTTATGTAAACATAGACTAAATCATTGATGTAAACATAGACTGTAGTCATTGATGAAAAAGACAGTATTCATTGATGTAAACATAGACTCTAGTCATTGATGCAAACATAGACTGTAGTCATTGATGTAAACATAGACTGAAGTCATTTATGTAAACATACACATTATTCATTGATGTAAACATAGACTCTAGTCATTGATGTAAACAAAGACTGCAGTCATTGATGTAAACATAGACTGTAGTCATTGATTTAAACATACACAGTATTTATTGATGTAAACATAGACTTTAGTCATCGATGCAAACATAGACTCTAGTCATCGATGTAAACATATACAGTAGTCACTGATGTAAACATAGACTGTAGTCATTCATGTAAACAAAATTTCCATCGATGTAAGCATAGACTGTAGTCATAGATGTAAACAAAGACTGCAGTCATAGATGTAAACAAAGACTGCATTCATTGATGTAAACATACACAATAGTCATTGATGTAAACATAGACTTCAGTCATTGATGTAAACATAGACTCTAGTCATTGATGTAAACAAAGACTGTAGTAATTGAAGTAAACATGCACAGTAGTCATTGATGTAAACATAGACTAGTCATTGATGTAAACAAAGATTGAATTCATTAATGTAAACAAAGACTGTAGTCATTGATGTAAACAAGGAGTGTAGTCATTGATTTAAACATACACAGTATCCATTCATGTAAACATAGACTGAAGTCATTGATGTAAACATACACAGTATTCATTGATGTAAACAGAGACTGTAGTCATTGATGTAAACAAAGACTGTAGTCATCGATGTAAACATAGACTGTAGTCATTGATGTAAACAAAGACTAGTCATTGATGTAAACATACACAGTAACCATCGATGTAAACATAGACTTCAGTCATTGATGTAAACATACACAGTATCCATTGATGTAAACATAGACTTTAGTCATCGATGTAAACATAGACTGTAGTCATTTATGTAAACAAAGACTACTCATTGATGGAAACATACACAGTAGTCATTGATGTAAACATAGACTGTAGTCATTGATGTAAATAAAGACTAGTCATTGATATAAACATAGACTTCAGTCATTGATGTAAACATAGAATCTAGTCATTGATGTAAACATAGACTGTAATCATTGATGTAAACATAGACTGTAGTTATTGATGTAAACATAGACTCTAGTCATTGATGTAAACATACACAGTATCCATTGATGTAAACATAGACTGTTGATGTTATCATGGTAACAGTGATATTTTCAGTAATGTTGTTGTTATCATGGTAACAGTCATATTTTCAGTTATGTTGTTGTTATCATTATTACAAGAACTTACACACATGTAATTTTGTGTTTTGTCAATGTAAAGAAAACATCGATAATTGCTTTAACATTGAGAGAACGGTACTACCTTAAACACCGCCGACGGAAATCATCCTTCCATCTAATTTTGATGCACTCTTTTTGTGGACTTTTCTGACTTATGTCTCGTCTTCTAAATGCGAATGATTTGGACCTGAATCTCATTACGACCCCATCCATGTCGATAAGGCTATCAATAAGGTTAGTACATCCATCTGCTATAACTCGGGGCGCATACCTCGACTGAGCCTCGCATCCATCACAAGGATGTGTAAAGCACATGTCCCGATAAATCACAGTTGATCGCAACGTGGATGAACATCACTGACACTTAAACAATTCACAGCAAATTAACTTGCATGACGTAGCCATGATCTCGAATGACCTCTAACCTTTGACACGACAGCACGATGGCGGATCTATGGCATCGTTTTAACATAGAGAATGTCTTCCTACACAAAAATTGATACCGGCGAGACAATGACGACAAAATAACATGACATCGTAGTGTGGCTATAAATACCTGACACAGTTTAATATGAGGACACGTTAAACAATAGTTTGGTGTTATATCTTCAATCAGCCTTAATATATCTATGGTCGAAGAAGTGTTTATCAGATAAAGCCTACACCACTAAAGGTTGAGTATTCGATCTACACGCCTGTTTCACACCATTACAAGTCACCACCTAGCACACTCGTGGGAATCTTTCACTCACGCATATGCGCACACGTCGTTGTACATAATAACTGGAAATATCCATTCGTAGTAAACCTTACAAGACTTGCTAATGAAGAAACTTAAACTGTAATGGATCAAATAAAAATTATACCATATCAAAATTGTATCAGTAGTATGTACGTAAACGTGAATCAAACGACAAATTATAAAATATATCAATATATCTAACTATACATAATATTTATGTCTATCACATCTGTATATATCACACCTGTATATATCACACACCTGTATATATCACACCTGTATATATCATACATGTATATATCACACCTGTATATATCATACGTGTATATATCACGACTGTATATATCACACCTGTATATATCACACCTGTATATATCATACGTGTATATATCACGACTGTATATATCACACCTGTATATATCATACATGTATATAACACAACTGTATATATCACACGTGTATATATCACATCTGTATATATCATACCTGTAAATATCACACCTGTATATATCACACTTGTATATATCATACCTGTATATATCACACCTGTATATATCATATATTATATACCTGTATAAATCACAACTGAATATATCATACATATCACACCAGTATACATCATACCTGTATATATCACACATATATATCATACCTGTATATATCATACCTGTATATATCACACCTGTATATATAATGTATTACATACCTGTATATATAACAGCAGTGTATATCATATATTTCATAACTGTATATATCATACCTATATATATATATAAAATCTGTATATATCACAGGTATATATATCATATCTGTATATATCACACCTGTATCACAACTGTATATGTCATACCTGTATATATCACACCTGTATATATCACACCTGTATATATCATACCTGTATATACCACTCATGTATATATCACACCTATATATATAATACATGTATATATCACACCTGTATATATAACATCTGTATATATCACACCTGTATATATCACACCACACCTGTATATATCACACCACTTCATGTCTTACCTTTCATACCTGTATATATCCTACCTGTATATATCACAACTGTATATACAACACCTATAAATATATCATACCTGTATAATGTCATACCTGTATATATCACACCTGTATATATCAAACCTGTATAGGTAATATCTGTATATATCACAAATGAATGCATCACACCTGTATATAACATACCAGTACATATCATACCTATATACATCATACCTGTATATGTCTTATCTGTATATATCATACATGTATATATCAGACCTGCATATATCATACCTGTATATATCAAACATTCCATACCTGTATATATCACACCTGTATATATCATATATTATAAACCTGTATAAATCACAACTGAATATATCATACATATCACACCAGTATACATCACACCTGTATATATTACACCTATATATATCATACCTGTATATATCATACCTATATATATATAAAACATCTGTATATATCACAGGTATATATATCACATCTGTATATATCAAACCTGTATATGCATTATCGGTATATATCATACTGTATATATCACACTAGTTTATATCATACTTTCTATACCTGTATATATCACACCTGTATATATCACACTAGTTTATATCATACATTCCAAATTATATATATATATCACACCTGTAAATATCATACCTGTATATATAATGCATTCCATACCTTTATATATCAAACTTGTATATATCATACATTTCATACCTGTATATAGCATACCTCTATATATCATACCTGTATATATCAGACCTATATAGATCATACTTGTATATATCACACCTATATATATCATACCTGTATATATCATATCTGTATGTATCATACATTCCATACCTGTATATATCACACCTGTATATCATATCGGTATATGTCATACCTGTATATATCACACATATATATCATACCTGTATATATCATACCTGTATATATCACACCTGTATATATAATGTATTCCATACCTGTATATATCACAGCTGTTTATATCATATATTTCATAACTGTATATATCATACCTATATATATATATAACATCTGTATATATCACAGGTATATATATCATATCTGTATATATCACACCTGTATCACAACTGTATATGTCATACCTGTATATATCACACCTGTATATATCATACCTGTATATACCACTCATGTATATATCACACCTATATATATAATACATGTATATATCACACCTGTATATATAACATCTGTATATATCACACCTGTATATATCACACCACACCTGTATATATCACACCACTTCATGTCTTACCTTTCATACCTGTATATATCCTACCTGTATATATCACAACTGTATATACAACACCTATAAATATATCATACCTGTATAATGTCATACCTGTATATATCACACCTGTATATATCAAACCTGTATAGGTAATATCTGTATATATCACAAATGAATGCATCACACCTGTATATAACATACCAGTACATATCATACCTATATACATCATACCTGTATATGTCTTATCTGTATATATCATACCTGTATATATCAGACCTGCATATATCATACCTGTATATATATCAAACATTCCATACCTGTATATATCACACCTGTATATATCATATATTATAAACCTGTATAAATCACAACTGAATATATCATACATATCACACCAGTATACATCACACCTGTATATATTACACCTATATATATCATACCTGTATATATCATACCTATATATATATAAAACATCTGTATATATCACAGGTATATATATCACATCTGTATATATCAAACCTGTATATGCATTATCGGTATATATCATACTGTATATATCACACTAGTTTATATCATACTTTCTATACCTGTATATATCACACCTGTATATATCACACTAGTTTATATCATACATTCCATATATATATATATCACACCTGTAAATATCATACCTGTATATATAATGCATTCCATACCTTTATATATCAAACTTGTATATATCATACATTTCATACCTGTATATAGCATACCTCTATATATCATACCTGTACATATCATAAATTAGATACGTGTATATATCACACCTGTATATATCAGACCTATATAGATCATACTTGTATATATCACACCTATATATATCATACCTGTATATATCATATCTGTATGTATCATACATTCCATACCTGTATATATCACATCTGTATATCATATCGGTATATGTCATACCTGTATATATCACAACTGTTTATACCATACATTCCATACCTGTATATATCATACCTGTATATATCATACATTCCATAACTGTTTATATCACACCTGTAGATATCACACCTGTATATGTCTGATCTGTATATATCACACCTGTATATATCACACGTATACATATCATACCTCTATATATCATACATTTGATACCTGTATATAACATACCTGTATATATCATACCTGTATATATCATACATTTCATACCGGTATATATCACACCTATATATATCATACCCGTATATGTCCTATATTCCATACCTGTATATATCACACCAGTATATGTCTTATCTGTATATATCATACCTATATATATCACACCTGTATATATCACACGAATACATATCATACCTGTATATATCATACATTTGATACCTGTATATCTTCTATCTGTATATATCATACATGTGTATATCATACCTGTATATATCCTACATTCCATAACTGTATATATCATACTATATATATCATACATTATGTACCTGTATATATAACACCTGTATATATCACACCTGTTTATATCATACCTGTATATATCCTACATTCCATAACTGTATATATCATACATTTTGTACCTGTATATATAACACCTGTATATATCACACCTGTTTATATCACACCTGTTTATATCATACATTCCATAACTGTTCATATCACACCTGTATATATCAGACCAGTATATATCATATATTTCATACTTGTATATAACGTACGTCTATATATCATACCTGTATATATCATACCTGTATATATGATACACTCCATATTCGTATATATCACAGCTGTATATATCATACATTTCATACCTGTATATATCACACCTGTATATATCATACCTGTATATATTCTATATTCCATACCTGAATATCTCACACTTGTATATATCACACCTGAATATATCACACCTTTACATATCATACCTGTATATATCACACTTATATATATCATACCTGTATATATCACACTTATATATATCATATCTGTATATTTCATACATTCCATACCTGTATATATCATACTATATATATTATACATTCCATACCTGTATATATCATACCTGTATGTATCACACATGTATATATCATACATTTCATACCGGTATATATCATACCCGTATATATCCTATATTCCATACCTGTATATCTCATATCTGTATATATCATACATGTCTATGTCGTACCTCTATATATCATACCTGTATATATCCAACATTCC